TTTCAAGGCAACCTGAAAATACTTAATAAAAGTACATATTGTGGGGCTGGGGTTGTGGCTCATTGGTAGAGTGCTTGTCTTGCATGTGCAAGGCTCTGGGTTCGATCCTCAGCACTGCATAAAAATAATAAATAAATAAATAAATAATAAAGTTTTGTGTCCAACTACAACTACAAAAAATATTTTTTTTAAAAAAAAGTACATATTGCTTTCCTGGAAATTCTGCACACTTATATGCAAAATGGAGGTAGAGGGTTCCTGGTAACTGCAATATTTGTAATAGAAAGCTACTAGAAAAATGATCAACACAGAACTGGTGAAATTATATGACTAGACATCTATTCGACAGGCTATTGCAAGTCATTAAAATAAAGGTTATAATGTTTTAAGTTAAATATGCCACACTCCTGAAGATGTCATGTTAAGTAAAACAGAGTTTACTTCTACAGAGGAAAATAAACAGCTGTGACAAAATGTGGTATAGAGTGGAGGGAAGAGATACAGGTCATAGGGCTGGGGTACAGCTCAGAGGTGGAATGTGTTCTTAGCTGGATTAGAACCTCAGCACCAGAAAAACGACAGCTCAATATGGTATAGAGAGTCACTATTCCAATTTTCTATATATCTGTTTGGATTTTTTGTTTTTTGTTTTTAAACAGAATACTACCAATTCTATTACCATTCCATAAACTAAGGAACGGAAATTTAAGCAAGATTATACATGATATACTTCATTAAAATAGCATATTAATAAATCATCTTTTTGATAGAGTATTATTCCATCTCTCCATCTATCAAATGTGGAGACAAGGCAAGATGCGTAAGAGAAATGATAAGCCAAGGGGTGTGGAGTGTGAAGGTGGATGGAGAAGTGAGTGTCCACCACAGACGTGGGCAGAGACCACTCCAAAGTATGCATAGGCGAAAAGGGATATTCAGGGAAAAGAAAGGAGCCTCATCTCACCCACAGGGAGCTGGCCCTAGCAAGGGGCAGGAGTCCCATTAGGGCCACACGAAGGAAATTTTACTGTGATGCTAAAGCATTGGAATTTTATATTTAAGCCTTGAAGCAAGTGGCTTAAAAAGCATAGATAATTCTAACACATAAACTCTGACCACACTGAGAACAAACCCAGTCAGATGGATAAGTGTTCATGGGCCAAATTTGGTGACTTTCTCAGAGGCACATTTCCTTATAGAGAAACATATTCATTATCTCAAATTTCTCTCTTGAGGAAATTAGTAAAATGAACACACTCCTCACATTTCTGTTACCAGAAAATACATACAAGTTCTAAAGCTGGAAAAAGTGACAGTTCAGTCAGGAAATTTCAAGTTAAAAAAAAAAAAAAAAAAGACAAAGAAAATTATAGCCCTCCTGGCTCAAACTGAAACAGTAATTAGAGATAAGATACAGTTTAGGAGCTAAAGAATTTGGTGAATGTGCCTTACACATTATAATTTAAGGTTAGTAAAGAAATTTAAAAGAGAAAATCCACAGTTAAAAGCACATTTCAATTGCTTAAACAATGTTAGAAAGAAATGTTTGGCATGTGTAGTAAGAACGGCTTTCGAATACCATAAAGTCTAAGACTCCTCGATTATGGGCCCATTCACTAATATCCTACCATCAAATACCCCTACACACAAATGATTCAAGTCAAAAATGCATTTCTTTGACTGGCAGGATCAGAGTTGCTGCAAATAAATAGAAGAGAGAAAAGAAAGATGAGGAAACATTAAATGGGAGACACATGTACCAAAGTGTGGTATTAGCACAGATCAGGACTATCAGATCTGATATGATGCAATCTTTATGAATTGGAGTCTCCCGCCCCACAAACTTATTTATGACCTTTCTTGATGGCATAGCACACAGTGTCCTGGCAAGCTAGCCAAGATACAAAACATGGGTACCTGGATGGGTTTGACCAGCAGCACAGAATTATTTAAATATTAACTTTTAGATCTTATGCTAAAATGACTGTAGAACAATCTTGAATAAACTTATAGGCTAAAATAAATGAGCCAGGAACAAATACCAAAATAATAATAATAATAATAATAATAATAATAATAATAATAATAATAATAATACCATAACAGCTGGACACAGTACTGCATGCCTATAGTTCCATGAGGACTACTTGAACCCAGGAACTTGAGACCGGCCTGGGCAACATAGCAAGGTCTCATCTGAAAACAAAACAAAAACCAAAAAGGAAAAACCACAAGCCCATGGTAACAAACTGCACTTAAAAAAACAAAAGATATTAGTTGTCAATTCCTTAAATACCCATGAGTACCTCAATTAAACAATCTTGTATTTCTTGTATGTGGAATGAAATACAAAGGCTTTGTCACTTCGGTTTCTATCAGAATCACATTAAAAGCTGTTATTCTCATGAAGACACGATAACATCTACCCTTTAATAAAAGACATGATTTTCTAGTTAATTATCTAATTACATACACTTAATTATAAAACACATAAGAAAGACTCTAAATCCAAATAGACCAAGCCAGGTGTGGTTGGTGAACCCGTAGTCTCAGCTCCTTGGAAGGCTGAGGCAGGAGGATCAACTGAGCTTAGGAGTTCCTGGCCAGCCTGAGCAGCGTACTGAGATCCAGGATAGGTGGATGGATGGATCCACCATCCATGGATGGATGGATGGATGGATGGACAGATTAAAAAACTGAATTCCACAAATATATCAGAGTTTACATTAACTTTCTATGGACCAAACTGTCCAGGCAGATATAAGACAAAGATTGTTGACTTGGCTAGGAAATCATACACTGCTTATAGGGACAAAGTAAAAATGTCTGGCTGACGAGGTCATGTAGAAGAGGATAAAATCAGATACAGAACACAAAAAGGCAACTACCAACAAAGAGGCAGAAAACCATTTGGGGCTCAGACCTCAGATTCCCTATTGTTGAGGGAAGGACAGGACCACTGAGGAAACCCACTTCAAGGACACAAGGTCACAGGGCTGATGAAGACAAGGCATGGAGAGAACCCAAAACACTCTTCCCTGCAACCACCAGCAGGCAACGAGCATAGTCACAAGAAATAGTCCACCTCTGGGGAAAGGGCCTGAGTATGCAGGCACATTCTGAGAAGGACAGGCTCAGAGGAACTGTGAAAGACCCTCAGGCTCCCAGTGGCTTCTGAAGAACAATCATCTCAACAAAAGAAGACTCAAGGCAGACTTGGCTTCCTCTGGGAGCACCACAGCCAGCCCTCCCAGCCCCAGCCCAATAAGGTGTGGAAAGGCACAAGTGTGTTTTCCCCCAGTTCTATTGGCCAGCAGCCTGTAACCCCACCCAACCATCCCAGCCTCTGTGGACAAAGGTGTTTTATGAATGGCATGATGTACTGAATAGAATCCCATCAAAATTCACATCCATCAAGAATCTGTGCATGTGACCTATTTGTACACAGGTCTTAGCAAATATAATCAAGTTAAGATAAGGTCACGGAGTGGGGTGACTCCTAAATCCAATATGACTACTGTCCATACAGAAAGAGGGAACTTTGGGCACAGAGATGCTCAGGGAGAAGTCCAGAAGACAACTGTGCTGTGCTGCCACAAATCAAGGAAGGACAAGGAGTGTTAGCCACCACTAGAAGCTGGGAGAGGCAGGGGTCAGGTCCTTCTCAAGGCCCCAAGGAAGAAACCAATTCTTCTGGCACCCTGAGGCCGGGCTTTAGCCTCCTGAAATGCGAAAGAATGTGAAATTCCTGTTATGTAAGTCACACTTTATCATCATTTGTTATGGTAACCCTAGCAAACAAATGCAAACCCCATAAAACTGGAAGCAAACTAAAATTCTATAGAGATTGAATAGTTAGATAAATAGTGGTATTTTCTTCAAAGGAGTACCATACAGGAGTCACATGAAACACCCTGGAAGAACCTCAAACACACAGTGTCAGAAGTCAAGCCCAAAACAATGTAGACGATTAAGCCCATTAATACAAACTGTAAAGAAAAGAAACAGGTAAGAACTAACCATGCTACTTGGGTATACAAAATTCGAAGGAAGAACTATATGGAAACATGAGAAAGTGCTGAGAATCCAGTCAGAAGAGGAGCTGAAGCTAGAGAAAATGGAAGGGGAATAACTGAGAAAAAGAAGAAAACAGGAAGCTGGCTAAGAAGTGCTACAGAAGACACGGTGGAACACGCGCGGAGTTTTGCTTTGCTCAACATCGCATTATGTTCTGTGTGTATAGTTCAAATTGAACAAAACAACGAAAGAAAGGAGGAAGCCAGGAAAGCCACCTATTATAGCACTGGCAACTTCCTGAGATCCTGGCTAGAACTGACGGATGATGTCCACAGATGCAGGGGCGGCCACTGGTTTCTGATCCTCATAACAGGGACAGGCCTGGCTGGGCACTGTGACTATCATTCCTGAAAGTTTACTCTAGGTTCCCTTCCTTTTGAAGATTCTGGAAGCACTTACTCCCTTTCTATTTGCAATACCTAGCGTAGTGCCCCTGAACAGCATATGAACCCTGACAAACAAATTCATGCTGAAAAATTCAAGAAAAAAATCAAAGTGGAATTTCTACCCACCAAATACTATCAGTAACAAAGCAGAAGCCTAAACCCTGATGTTAGGTTCACAGGATTCTTACCTGTCCCTTCTTGGTAGACAGCACAAGCATAAAATCGAAATCTTTATTTAACAGTTTATGAAACTAATTTTTAACATATATTAAAAAAAAAAGCCAGACATGGCAACACATGCCTGTAATCCCAGCGACTCAGGAGACTGAGGATCACAAGTTCAAGGCCAATCTCAGCAACACAGCAAGACCCATAGCAATTTAGTAAGAGACCATCTCAAAATTAAAAAAAAAAAAAAAAATTAAAAGGGCTAGGGACATAGTTCAGTGGGAAAGCACCCCAATTAAATCCCAGTACCACAATAATGAAAAAAAGGGGGGGGGGGGAAGTGGTGAGAGGAACAGAACCAGGTGTTACCTGCAGTCTCGTATTCATTTCTAGGAAGTAGAAGTTCTTCCTGGAGTCCACCAGGAACTCCACGGTTCCAGCTGAGGAGTACTTCACTGCTCTGGCAAGAGCCACAGCTTGTTCTCCCATGGCTCTTCGAGTCTCCGGATCCAGAAAAATGCTATGGATACAGAAAGCATTCTTGTGCATTTTGAACAAAAGTCAAATTATCTTGTTCTTAAATGTTACTCAGATATAGATCATCTCTATCAATTTGTGAGTTCACAATGTTCTATTCCTTGTATGTTTTATATTACTGCCTTATGTAAAACATGCTTAAACAAATCCATCTCAGACTTTTATAAAACATCTGAACTTTTCACATTATAACTTCAATCTATTTGTAAAATATACAACTACTTATTAGCAAAATTTAATAAACATACATTCAGAGTTGCTTCAAGCTAAATTAAGAGAAAATAATTTCTTAGAAACTGGTATAAAGTCAGTCCTCCTTACACATGGATTCCATGTTTGCAAGTTTGTCTACTTGACAAAATCATTTTGTAATCTCAGAATCAATATTTGTAATACCTTCGTGGTAATTTATAAATACATAAGCACAGAGGGGAAAGCTTTGAGATGGTTACTATACTGAGGTTGGACAAGATGACACTCTGCCTCATTTTAGTGCCTACCTCCAAACAGTGTCCTCTTAGGCCTATTTCGTATTCTGGGTTTTTTTGTTTGTTTGTTTGTTTTCATTTTTGTGCATTTTCTCTTTCTTCATTTGTTAGGGAGTGGGGCTGACTTCACTGTTTACCTGGCACCTGAATACTGTGCTTGAGAGCAGAGGCTGTGAAGGGCCTTACAGAGAAAACCCATTGTAAGATTGGCTCTGTGCAGGTGTGTCATGGTCTTTGGCCTGAATTGTGGGCTCACCATTACTAAAGTAATAACAAAGGCTGAATAATGTGCCCTTCAACAAAAACTTACAGGAAGTGAGATTATGAACAACTAGTTGCCTAAAATTGTTAGATACTGTGTGAAAATGTGATGGCCAGAGGCTTGCAGAGACCTACCCTGTATTTCCTTTAGGAATAATGTATCAGCTAATTCAGTGTTCATGACACTTTACAGAACATAGCTGCCACAGATAACAAGGGCCAACTAACATCTAATAAACCACAGCACCTTTGTTTCAAAATAACCTTCCAGCAAGCAAGTAAAGCTAAAATGTTCTTAACAAACCCTGAAGAAAAATGCCATCAGATAGCCTACATTTTCACATTATGCTTTTATGCAATAAAGGCTTTGAGAACAAAACATTGACTCCTTTTCTATTAGTGGGTTAAAGTATTTTCAAATAAAATTTAGATGACATGTTATAAAATGTTATTATAAACTAGCATAATCCCTTTCGTCAATATGCCAAGATTAGTAAGAGTCGCTCTTGGCTTAACTGTGTTGCTATGCCCCCTTCTCTACCAGGCCCAGGCCCATTCATTTTGTTTTGCTGTTTTTAATTTTAAAGCAAATTCCAAATTAGTTATCATTTCATCTACAAAAACACCCATATCCATTTCTATCTGTATTCCTTCATTCTTTTTATAACATAACCACATTTTGAAAAACTAAGCACTCTTTAACACTCTCTATATAATTAATATCCAATACTCAAATTTCAGTGATTAAGTCATAAATCTTTATACAGCTAAATTTATTTGAATTAGGATCCAAGTACAGTGCAGACATTGCGTTTGGTTGGTTTGGTATTTTAAGATTCTTTTAATCTACAATGCTCCTTCTCTTCCCTTTTTTCAGGTAAGGACCAGGTCATCTTCCTATCTCATTCCTTGATTTCTGGGTTTGGCTGCAGGCAGCCCAGGTGTCCTTTTACACTAGCTTTGTATTTCCATTCCACAGAAACTGCTAGTTAGAACTCATGCCTGTAACAGACTGATTTGGATCATGGTGGGGGTGGGCAAGAATACTTCGCAAGTGGGAAATAAACTTTCTACTGTTTCCCTTTGGTGATGTCAGGATTATCAATGGGTTCAGGTGTTATGAATCTTACCTATTAAAAATATTGTTCTGCATTAACTTAATGAATATAGGAGTTGATGAATAACTAATGCAACAAAAGAAGAAAACCAATGGAAGATAATGTAATGGAGAATTTTAGTACAGTTAAGAACTCAATTTTTGCCCTGTCTGGTCTTATCCTTTCCCTTACCATAAATCCTAAGCAGTGAAACACAAAGATAATAGCCAGTTTAGCACTACCTTCAAAGCACAGTGGTAGATTCTTACTTTAGGATCTGAAAACTACCTAGGCCATTTATTTTAACATTTTACAATGCACAGGTACATAGCAAGTCACTACTAACGATCAGTCCTAGCTTTTTATTTTGATTCCTACTGCTTGAAATTTCCCTCTTTTCTCTAAATTAATAGATGAGATGGTCATAGACAGAAGAAACAAACAAAAATCATGATTCAAGGTTCCCAGTCTATGAAGGATTTCTAACCCAGGTAAGACTTGAGTAAATTTAAAACAGAAAGTGGAAATGGAGATGAGATGGTAGGCAAAAAACCACGAAGTTGCAAAAGAACTGGATCTGAGCCCATCACTGTTCTGCCAGCGTCCTCTCCCCTGGGTCCCTACAGCTAGAATTTCAGCTGAGCACGTGGTCACGGAAGGAAAAAAGACATTTCCGAGTCTGCAGTTGGCTAGGTGCCTAACTGAAAGGTCAATATCAAGCAAAAAGGACTGCAGCTTCCAGGACCCTTCCTGGGGAAAGACCCAGGGAGGACATTCCTTGTCCTTTCTTCTTCCCCCCTTACGTCCTAGGCCATGTGACACAGGGCCCCATGCCACGTGGCTGCAGTGGGCCATTCTTCACAGTATGGTGGCAGGCTTTTAAGAGCATGCATCCGAAGACACAAGAAGTAGAAGCTGGGAATTTCCGGGTGCCTGGGCCAGAAAATGGGACCTGTATTCCACTGGTCAAGTGGAGACAACTCAGTCCCCTCCCCCATCACACCACGAGAAAAGTTCACAGGAGTTGGGAAACATTTCAAACTACTATACCATATATGATTTTTTCAAACTATTACAACTAAAAGATGGTTTAATTTTACCATTACCTTGGATAAAAACTCATTCACATTCACTCTTCATTGTATCAAGGTATGCTGGCTATGCTAATTAAAGCTAAAGTGGGATTTTTTTTTTTTTTTTTTTTTGGTGCCTGGTAATTAAAGAAAAAAAAATCTATGTACATTCAATTGGGAATTTTTAAGAAGAAATATCAGAACACATGCATCAACCAACCTAACATCAACTTAGAAATAAGGCTTCAGGAAACCACCACACAAAACACATGAAAGGTAGCCTAGAGTTTACCCAAAGTGGCTCTGATAAATCAAGCAATGGTCAAGAACTAAGCCCCACAAGTCCTTTCATGGTAGGAAAAAACTGAGGATCCACGTATAAAACCATTAACAATACCCTTGAAATTCCATGAAATACCAGCAGGTTCTACACTACCTAAAGTCAGCAGAAGTCAAAGCTGATTATCTACCCAAATTTCTCTTCTTATAAAAACACTTCTTCTTCAAATACTCCTCACTTTTTTGCAATATGGTACTGAAGAAGATCAAGTAACAAATTTTGAGTTATAAAAATAGGCATTATTAGAGTCTATGCTAACATTAAAGCAATTTGGGCTAGTAAAATGGAGAAGAAATCTGGAAGATATATGGAAGCAGGTTCATGGGGAGAGACTCTTACCTTGGTGCTTCCTCCACCACCTTCTGGTTTCTTCTCTGAACTGAGCACTCTCTTTCATTAAGCCACAAAGCATTTCCATGTTTATCACCTAAAACCTGAACAAAAAGCGTCACTTGTAGCCGGGCGCAGTGGCGCTTGCCTGTAATCCTAGCAGATCGGGAGGCTGAGGTAGGAGGATCTCAAGTTCAAAGCCAGCCTCAACAAAAGTGAGGCACTAAGCAACTCAGTGGGACCCTGTCTCTAAATAAAATATAAAATAGGGCTGAGGATGTGGTTCAGTGGTTAAGTGCCCCTGGGTTCAATCCCTGATAACAAAAAAAAAAGAGCGTCATCGTCATTTGAAAACATAGCCACACCCATGGATAATGAGTCCAGCTAACATCTTCCCCACCATACAACAGCTCCTGATTTTTAACATACATGCCTCTTGAAGCACTCTTTATAGAGAGTTATAAAGAAAACCTTTATATTTCAACAAAATTCAATGAAACATTTTTACCAAAAATATCTAAGGAAGCCAGGCATGGTGACGCATTCCTGTAATCATAGTGTGTGTGTGTGTGTGTGTGTGTATTTTTTTTTTTTTTTTGAGGAAAAGATTCTCATGTTACATTTCACATAAGATATAAAAAGCATTAGAATCCACTGTGCCCTGTGAAGGACTCAAGTGTCGATGGAGGGGTCACACACTTTGGTTGCCTGTGGTGCTTAGGAGAGCCACCAGAGATATCTGTTTGTTGTTCACCTTATTCAACGTTTGTTCATCAGGAAGTGATACTTTGTGCATTTGCATGCAATATTTATATGTGGATATCTTTACTGTGATTTGTTTTTATTATAGGAAACTGGTGAAAAGATTACGACTTTTCACATTTGTAATAATTGGAAATAAGCTGGGGTTGTGAGGTAAAAGTGGAATTGTCTGGACAGCCATTTGTACATTCCTGAATGCATATTTTAGGTTCACAGAGGCATTAATTTTATTTCAATTATCAGACCTCCTGGGGCAAGTTATTTTGTTTCTTCATAAATTATAAACCATAGATAATATCATCTTAATATTTTATATGGCTTCTGAAATATCAAATTAAAAAATATTACAGTTGTAACAGGTATAGTAAGCTATAAAATGAATAGCTACTATATGACTGCAACATTAATTTTTAGGAATAAAGTGTATTTAAGACTCAATAATCATTCCAAGTAACGAAAGAAAACATTACAATAATAAAATGCCAAGAACTTGGCATTTTATTTCTAAGACTCAGAGGTAGAGCTAAAAATATTTTAAATCATTAAAATAACTCTAAATGTCCTTTTTTATTCTAGTTGACAAGGAAGTGAAAGTAGACTTAAAAAATAAAGCAATCCAAAATAACCAGTAGTTCTCAGGAATATTTCCAACTGCAAAATATTAGATTCATTTATAGTCTCCAGTTCATTTTTTAAAGTTTTGGGTATTTACCAACCATTGAACAAAAATGATTTGAAGATGATTTTTTGGGAAACAATTAAATGAAAAGTGCTTATAAGAGAAGTTAATCCTTACAGGTACCCTGAGCTGTTTTAACTTTAAATATAGCCCTTTATAGATACACATGCACTGATTGTGGAAAAATCTCTAAGCTACTCTATTTCCTGATAAAAAGCTGCATGATAACAGAGAGCTCCCAGTAACCCGAGCCATTCGGTATCCCTGAGCTGGGCCTGGGGAATGCCTCTTTCCCTCCTTCAGAAATCACTGGACGTAATGTAAAAACACAGAGGTGACATTTGCATGCCAGGGCACAGCTTCAGTATTGCAGAAGATGCACTGTTGTTCACGTAAAGAACCACAGGCAATACACACGCATATATGTCACAGTCTGGATGTGGGTAGACATTCAAGAAATAACAGTTGTGCATGCACATAGGAACAGAAACCAGGGGGCCTGGAAATGGGAAGAGAGACTTGCTTTTGCTGAATACCCTTTATCATGTGCACAAGTTATCTAATATAAATAATTAGATGAAAACGACATAAAAACAATTATTCAAAAACCTTCCAAGTATGGATGGGGGTTATAGCTCAGTGTAGAGCGCTTAGCTAGCATTTGTGAGGCACTGAGTTTGATCCTCTGCATCACATAAAAATAAATAAATATAGTAAAGGTATTGTGTCCATCAACTACTAAAAATATATTAAAAAAAAAAAAACTTTTGAGTAGAGATCAGATATGGGAACCACTGTGTTGCCCATTTAAGCTACTGGGAGACATTTTCACCTATGTTTAAAAATATCTTGCAGATTATGGGCAATGGCTAATTAAAATACAATAAAATAAGCTAAAAGGCTGAAGCAGTTACTTAATTAGTTAACACAGACCAACAAACATTTATTTGAGTGCCATCAATGTGGTTGCTAGGAAGAGCAAAGAACTAAGATCTAGTCTGTGCCCTCAAAGACCCCATGGTCGATCAGCAAACTCAGGTATCTAAAGCCTGAATAACAAGTGGTATTCCAGCACAATGAATTTATTTCACTGCATTCTGAGGTAGTTTTTTACTCAACAAAAAATAACCAAAGGACATAGATCTCAAAAATATGACATCATATGGGAAAAAAAGGAACAAACAATTATAAATTGTATGATTCCATTCAGAAGAAGCTTGTTTTTGTGATGGTGGAGAGGGAAGCCGGGGCCTCAGGTATGCTAAGCATGGGCTTTATCACTCAGCTCTATCCCTGCATCCTCAGCGATGCCTGAAGTTTACCTGTGGGGCTTAGAGGTAGAGTGCTTGCCAAGCATGGCAAGGCTCTGCACTTGACCCTCAGCACAGAAGAAAAAAAAAAGAAAGAAAGAAACCTCCTAATCTATGATGCTAGCTGTCAAAACAGCAGTCAGATATGTGCACTAGCCAAGGAGAGAGACCAACTGGGAAGTGGTGTGAAAGAATATATCTTTTTTTGTCTGTTTCCTTCTTTTTATTTTTTTAATATTTTTTAAAATTTTTGAATCTTTTGATTTAATAGAAATTTTCATATCTGGATCTTGTTGGTTATATATTTATACTATATAAAAATTTTATTGAGTTGTACAGTTAGGATTTATGGACTTCGCTGTATACATACGATATCTCAATTAAGAATATCTAAAACCAAAACCCAACAAACAAAAACAGATCTGGCTAGCCTGGGAAAGAAACAGCTGAGCTCCATGTTTCAGAACTACCACTGATGATATGCTTCCACATTTTTTCTACTCTAGAAAATTTGAAGATTTATAAGATTTTCTGCCCATAAATAGTATCTATGTAAAGTGATCACTAAGTTTTAAATTCAGTGGTTTCTAATTTAATATTCATACTTTATCAATTTAAGTGTGACCTGCCAATTCTTAGTCATAATGTGTAAAGTTAGCATGAAGGCTTTTCTGACTAATGAAAACTTCAGCAGAGTTCCTGTCTTCTATGTGTTCTTTTTGCTGACATCCACATCCACAACTTTAACAACTGGATTGAATCTTAATCCAAACAGAAGACATGATTTGCTCATCTCCATGCAAGCAGCTCCCACCAGAACTCCTGCCACAGTGAAGCACAGACATTTGGTGAACTAAAATGATACAAAGTACAGATCAGGACTCCTTTCCTTTTAAAAATGGTCCAAGATGGCCCAATCTTGGAAGGGGACTGAATGATTCTGCAGGTGGAATACATTCAGTCTGGTAGACATCTTAGTACTGTTTCTTTTGGGAGGTGGGTTCTATATTGCTTCCATCCCAACCAACATCCTAGCACTTTGACCAGAATTATACAAGATTCCAAAAACAGGTGGTCAGTTTATTTTGGACTTATTCAAACGTACCGAAACAATTCACAATCATTCTAAATGGAAGAAGGGATGTGTTTCCAATAACTTCAAATGATACTGTTTAAAAGACATAATTAGAAAGCACCTTAAAATGCACCAACCTGGATTTCTATATGACGAGGGTTATCAATAAATTTTTCTATTAGTAGTCGATCATCACCAAAGCTAGAAGCAGCTTCTTGAGATGAAAATCTAAACCCCTCCCTGTAAAAAAAAAAAAAAAAACAGAAAAGTAATCAGACTAACAAAACAAATACAACCTTCATTATAAAGAAAACAAAAAGAATTAAGTATTTATTTTGGCATATTTCAGAACAAAGCAGAAAAAAACTTAATCAATATACAGATAATTAAATTAACTCTGCTTGAACTGGAACCCCTCCAATTACTAGCTCTATGATCTTCAGTGGGTTATTTAACTTAACTGATCATAAACTTTCTATTGACACCAGGCCTTATTTCACCAAATGTTAAGTAAGAGATTTTAATCAACTAAACCAAGCATTTAAAATTAATCTCATTTCTTCAACCTTAATCTATCTTCACTGCACTCACCACCGCCCCCCAATTAAAATGTACATCCACTAGTCTCAGAAGATAGAAAATGCAAACAGAACAAGAAAGGGCCTGGCAAACGGCACAACTACCCCAGAACCACAGCAAACGTACCCAGGAGACCAGACATGCAGTATGAAGATTCTCAAGAACACTTCCTCATATTCTAAATGCATACAATGTTCTCCATTATCTCCCATCCACCACACAGGCCCTTTTATTTTTTTAAATTGTTGAAAATCAATAATTAAAAGAAAAAGAATTTGTGAAAATAACATGAATTTAATTATTTTCCTCTATGTTGACCCCAAACTAAAATAATTTAAGTCATTATTATTAAAATATGCTTACTAAAATGCATATAAAATCAGCATATTTGGCCAGTCCATTAAAAACAAACTTACTAAAACTGATTGAGAATTGTATTGTATGCTCATTGATATATTCAGAATATAAAACTTAATTCCTTTTACTTTTAATAAACAGTTAAACATTTGTATTTAACATAAATCATTAAAACCAAGTTCTTTTAATCCTTTAATTTCCAAACAGTCCATCTGGTGATATTAAAAATAACTACCTGATGTGTTTATTTTTGTGCATGAAACATATAACATTGCAGGTAAACAATGACTAGAAGACAAATTTCCAAATGTGGCAAAACTCTCTGCTCTCAGATAAAAGGCATTGAGTTTTCTTAGTCTTCGATTACATCTTTGATTTAGGGATATGGAGTTCAGATCTCAGGAGACTGCAAACTTCAAAGAAACCAGAAGTACAATGAATCATTGTTTTTAATACCACATAACCAACTTTTATTAGATGGGATATTATAATTCACAAAGAGAAAACACAGCGCTTTGCAATTTGTCTCTGCTATAATGATTGAGAAGTTCCATTTTGCTTTTAAACCAAGAATTCCAAGAGTAAAAAAACCAAAGTCACCAAGGTCAGTATGAAGTTTGAAAGTATCACAGATAAATTTCAAACTGAAGGAAATTTGTATTAAGAATATCTTTGGGGCTGGAGGTGTAGCTCAGCAGTAGAACACATGCTTACCATGCATAAGGACCTAGGTTTGATCCCAGCACAAAAACAAAAACAAAAAATTTTTGTGGTATTCAATCATAACATTCTCCCAATAAGTAACTACTAGTCACCAAACTATGTAGGTCCTGGGATGACAAAAATAAGACAGAAAGCACCCTCAAAGAGCCTAAAGTCTAGTGGGGACATTCAAATGGGTGGGACAATCACTTATATTCATGTCATACATCTCACCTAAATTTGGATAGGGAAAAGAAAGCCAGAGATAATTATGAAAATATCTAAGTCTGTGTTCAACACCTTCATTATTCTCTTCCCAATTTATTGTATAATATCAAACATTTTTATAAAAATCTTTCCAATGTCCTAACGATTCTACGACAAGTCATAGACACCTCTTAGGATAAAATATAAAAACAAATAATGGTCACTAAATTTTATACTGCTTCCAAAGAATACTAAAATGTTGTGGCTTACACACAAAGAAAGTTCTTCAAGAGTGGGAGAGAGGAAAAGAAAGAACGAATTAGTTGTGGCATAATATCCACAATGAGTTATTACAGAAGTTAAATACCTGGGTGTTCATTAGACCTTTCTCTCGTTTATTCTGGAATTTGGGGGTTTTCAAATGAACAAAGGACATAGAGCAACTTTTAAAAGCAAAGAGCATATAATGTATTATTAAAGCCAACAGAGCTACACTTTTGTTGATCTAAACAAAAGAGATGGCTTGTTTACCAAGTTGCACAGAGTCATATTTTTCAGTAGAAAATGATCTATATTTACAAACTATATAAATATAATTTGAATCAATGTGCCTTTTACTTGCCAAGTAAGGGTTAAATTATTTAATAAAAGATGCCATATGAATGGCTATAATAACTTCTTTCGTGAAAACACTAAACTCTAAGTTAAAATTCAGGATCAACAACAGCACAACAAGTCCCACTGCCAACAAGTCCCACTCCCATAAGACAGCCTGTTCCCTACAATAGCCTGGAGCAGGTCTGATAAGAAATCTGAGAACTAGGGGCTGGGGTGGTGGCTCAGCGGTAGAGTGCTCGCCTAGCATGCATGAAGCACTGGGTTCGATCCTCGGCACCACATAAAAACAAACTATTGTATCCACCTAAGAACTAAAGATACATAAATAAATAAATATTTTTTAAAAAAGAAATCTGAGAACTAAAGAGGAGCAATAAAAAATAAGTGTTGGGCTTTCAGTGAAATTGCTATATAATATCACGCAAAAGAGGAAAACAATGAGGAAAAAAAGTAATGTTCACTGAATATACACCTCTCACAAAACCTGTAAATGGTTTCCAGCATCTTTCTTATGCCATTCTTTCCTATGAAGAGGCTGTATGTAGCAACGGTCTTCCCAAGGATGACAATGGCAGTGTCTCCCATCCAGGTGCTGTTCTAGAATCCTGCCACTCCAGGTGAAGAAGTGGAGTCACATTGGATTTGGTCAGAACCTAGTACTCCCTGGCAATCACCAGAAGGTGGTGGAGGGGAAACAGGGTGATTTCTAAGAATGGGCCATATATAATATGAAAAAATATACTCTACTTAAAAAAAAAAAAAAGGTAATACAGCTTCCATGTGGATTTGAAACAACTGATCTTGTAACTCCGGGTCACCTTGTAGAAGTCCCAAACCACCAGACTGTGAGGAAGATCAAGCCACTCATGGAAGGGTCCTGTGGTTCAAAGGGTTCTATTTAAAATTGTGAACAACAAACAGGAAAAAAATCTTTGAGACATTAAACCTGAACTTTGATAGATAAATGTCAAATAGGATGGACTGTGAGGTCAAATGGGACTAAGCAGCCTCCCTGCTTCTGCGTGCTTCTGTCCCCACACAATATCCAGTCAGCCCAACTCCACACACCCATAGTTAATTCATGCTCTATGAAAAGGTGCTAAGCCAGGCCGAGAGAGTTCCAGAGAGAGGCTAAAAACCAAAGCAATGCAGCATTCTTCAACTTGGAAGACTGAAGCCCTCACTTTGACCTTCATCTCTCAGCATGTCCCAAGAAATTTTCAAGTGAAACAAAGTTGTGTCATATACATTCAATTCATATAAATTCAACACTAAGACAAATAGAAAGTAGGGGAGAGTCCACGCGTCATCCATGAGCACTCTCACTCTGCCTCAGTCCCACAGCACTCCTGTCTCTACGTTCAAAATCACACTCTTTTTTGACACCGCCACCAATCACACCATTTTTCTTGCACAGATGATCACAGCAGCCTCCTAACTGGTTTCTCTGATTTCAAGATCATGATTCTGCCCCCCTCAAGTCCACCACCAAATAGCAACCAGAGTGGCCCTAGTAAGACCTCAGTCACAAAATCTCCACAACTGGTTAATCTGATAATACACCCAGAAGTTCATTGAATTCTTCTCTATCCTCTTTCAAATGTCTGGAATTTGAAGTTCCATGATGGTCTTTTCTACTCAAATCACTCCAGCAGCTTCGCATCTGACTGAGAGCCAGCAGATCTCCCCTGACCCCACAAAGGCACTCTGAGCTGCCTCCTTCTGCCTTCCCTCCCATGCCACCCGGTCTTGGTTCTCCTGCAAGAGGAGGGCTGCCCTTGCCGTTCCCTTGCCTGGATCCTCACCTCCTGGCTCCAGCGCTGGCTCCTCAAGGACAGGCCTAGAGGTGGTCTGAGGGGAATTACCTCCAGGACTCCTCAAGTCTCCGCCCATTTTTATGTTTCTTATGCTATTCTCACCTTCCACAGTGATTTTGTTTGACTCCTACTACCACCTACAGAATTTCCCAACCTTGTTTATGCCATGGATCCCTTTCACAAGATGATACAGCACAGAAACATTTTGTCAAAATAAGGCTTAAAGTGTTATAAAACGCATGGGGTCACCAGGCATGATAGGACAGACCTGTTGTCCCGGCTACTCAGTAAGATGACCTAGGCCCAGAAGTGCAGGGCCAGACTGGGCAAAACAGCAAGACCCTGTCTCTTTAAAAAAAAAAAAAAGTAATAATTATAACAGCTTATAGCATGAGCAAGGCCCTGGGTTCTATCCCCAGCACTGCAAATAACAGCAAAAATAATATCAATTAATAATTTAAAAATTAAAAATACGTAGGATTCCAGAGGAAACAAAATAATATTGAAATACAGATATTGAAAATTTTTACACATTTAGAATATAATACAAGTGGTTCCTTGTTAAATAATGAGCACCAACGATGGGTCTAATGATCAGCGTAACTTATCTGCAAAAACATAATGAGATAACACATATGACTTTCTAGCAGTAAAAAGTTCTACAGATACTACTATTCCCCTGGCTTGTTACCCAGGAGGAAACATGCATCCCAGGCAGAGGCTGGTAAGAGAAATCTGTGGTTTTCATTCATCCACATTCACGAACCTCCCCTTACCAAGAACCCCTGATCTAGTACATAAAATATGTGAAGGAATGGATTATTTTCTGATTTTATATTGCTATGTCCCTGAAGCCTTACTAAAACAGCACCTGTCAACAGCAGGCTCTCAACAAATATTGCATTTCTTCTTGTTGGGTTAGCAGAAGAGGGAAGAGGAGCATCTCTGTGATCTTGGTCATTTCCTGGTGCAGAGCCACTGTGAGAGTGAGGTTGGAATTTACAGACTGTCATCCTCACAAAACAAGCGAGCACGTCCTTGGTGTCAACCAAAGAAACAGTGGTGTTGTGAGTCAGTTGTCCTGTAGAGCTGACACTCCATAAGTCCCAGACACAGTGCCTTCCCATAAGGCCTTAAAGGAGAATGCAGAGTAGCCAGGAGATTTTCAAGGTAATTGCTCTCTTCAGAACCTCCTGTTTTTAGTAAGGTTTGGTCCCACTGTACTGGATGACTTTCACACTAATAAATCCAAATTCCTGTCTTTAGGAGCTTTATGAGGGAAGTGAATGGGGAAAGAAATGAGCAAAGGAGGAAATAGCACAATTAAGCATCTGAAAGGCCAGATGACTTCTGGGTGGAGAAAAGGCAGGAAAGACAACATAACAATAAAAAAATAAATAAATTTGTGATTTCTCATCCCATCATCTCCCAAAATAACAACTCTCCTGCTGTCAATTCTGAAAATAAGGAAAATAAATATGAACAGAGTTCCTTAAACCTGCTTCTACTAGGCAGTTTCTTGAACTACTCCTTTCTAATCACTATAATGTCACCAATATGTTTGATTTTTAAAATTTTGTCTCTTGGAAGTTACTTTTGATTTCTGAAACTAGTAAAAAGAAAGTGACCTAGATTTACAACAAGTGCATTGTATATAAAAGACATGCAGCAATTTCAAACTCAGAAAAGAATACGTTTCACATTATAAAATATCAAAATAGTTCACTACTTTTATGGACTAGCAAAGTAAAACAAGTACATAATGAGGTAAGACATAAATTCTTTTTATCATTGTTGTGTTTTTGTGGGGAGGGGTTTTTTTTTGTTTTGTTTTGGTTTGGTTTTGCATTACTGGGTATGGAACGCAGGGTTCTTGTGCATGCTGAGCAAGCACTCTACCACTGAGCTATACCCACAGCCCTGACATAAACACTCAATGAAATTATGTCTACTCTTAAATATATTTGGTTCAAATTTTCAGATTACCTTCCAAATTAGAGTCAAATGTTAGTAACTTCTGCCTAAAAAACAGAATAACTATAATTGTTTAAAAATATACTGTAAAAACAAAAAGTCCCTTGTTAATGTTTTAAAATACCCTTATAAAAGCCTCTCTATAATAGGATACTCATCTCAAAATATAAAAAATGAAGGCTTTTCCATAATTTCTATTTTTCCCCATTCAATAAGTGGTTATTGTAATTACTCCATTATGCTGTTAGTATCTGTTTACTTGCCAGCTTAATAAAACTCTGGCAACTGCAATTTTCATCAAAAGTACATTTTGGACAGAGGCTCACCTGGTCTCCTCATCATTCCAAGCGACGCGCATGCCTTTCCCGCCACCACCTGCTGAGGCCTTGATCATGACCGGGTAGCCTAGCCGCGGGGAGGAATTGGACAGAAGTTCAGACTTTGATCATCTGGATGTATGAACATGACAACTGACCACATGTTCAATAACTCAGAAGACAATAACTAATTTATTTAAAAGTTCCTTTCTTCAGAGTCGAAAAAATAACACCAGTGTGATGATCAAATATACATTTTTAAAATGAGAGTGTGGCCATTTTAAAAGAAAAAAAAGGTTACTTGTATCAATAAACATAACATTTTCTCTGGTAATAAAATAAGAGCTAAACTAAATAAATAATTTGACAGTGAATTCCAAAATCAGAAATAGATGAGTATTAACTAGCCAAAGATAAAAGAAGCAACTTATGTAAGACTAAGAAACACAAACACACAAATTCCCTTCATCTGTTTGCATGTTTAACAAATTGAATTCCCTTTTTTCAAAAGTTGTGATTACCAGGTACTATAAGTATTTTCATCTAAAAAGTCACAGGGAATGCCTACAGCTTTATCAGCAAAACCTGATGGAATACAGATTGCAGGATCTGTAATCTGTATACGGGGTAAAAATGGGAGTTCATAACCCACTTGAATCAAATATATGAAAAATGATATGTCAAGAGCTATGTGATGTTTTGAACAACTAATTAAAAAAAAAAAAAACCTGATGGTATTGAGAAAAATCACACATGGCTGCAGAAAAGATCTAAGTGAGAAGCACCACTCCACAGCATCATGAAGGTACAAAGTGAGGCCCAAAACTAAGGACATCTCCAGCTAATGTTTATAAAAGAAAAGGAAATCATAAAATTGTTGTTAAAAGAGCAAGAGTCACCCTGACAATACATTAAGAAAAGCTATAACATCCCCTTCTCTGGAGGTTTGCTGGAAACATTGTGGAAATGCTCATATGTATAAGACCATTTGTTTATGATCTTTCCCAAAGAAAGAAGCAGTCAGTGATCCCTTAAAGGACCCTCCCTGGCCTGTGATTCTGTAGCAGCATTAAACTCTAGCTAAAGGATCCTGAGGGAAAAGAAAGAAAGGCCAGAAGTCACAGACCTTTGACCCCTCCACCACAAAACATCACCTTAACTTCAGCTTAGTTAAAATGACACTTGCTTCCTGAATATTTTATAGTCAATTCAATTTAAAATGTTTTGTTTGTTGCTTATGTGGGATAGCATTTTTTAAAAAGCTAAATTGGTGAGAAAAAGACAAATAACACATTGTTCTTGTATGAAGGGCCTTATAATTCAGGAAAAGAGGCAAAGCACCCAAATAACTTATCAGTGGGGACTCAAAGAGCAGAGGATCACAGGAAGGTGGAGAGAAAAGGGTAAGAAAAATACAACATAGGAAGTGTCATTTAAATGAGGCTCCAGAGGAGGAGAAAGATTGGAACATTTCAGACAAAATAGAGGTACTCATGAGATGAGTTTAAGAAGAGAGTGAAACACTCCTGTTGAGTACAGACTACCTTTGGGTTAGCATAAGAAAAAGAAGTAAATACACAGACTGGGCAGCATATGAAAGATTTCACCTGCTTTCATTCTTGAAGCTGCATGAAATCTTGCATGAGGTTTGATCCTGAGGGACAGTCAATGCTGTGGCCTCACAATGAAAGTCACATATAGGAATTAGTTTGCAATCAGTAAGGAACAATCAGCCTGCTTTTTAGGAGTAAAGTAACTCCGCCACCCGCCCCCCCCAACAATTCAAACCTTGTTGAACTTTTTGCCTACAAAATTCCATTTACAAAAATTTAAGGTCTTTTTTAGACAAATGGATCCATACCCCTCTAAAACTGTGTTATCAATTCACCACCACATATTATCTATCTCTGCAACAGGAAACCACAAGAGATGGGATGTCTATGTCCCACGTGTCTACCATTTTCAGATCCCTCTAAGGATTAGGAAATATGGCATTTTTTTTTCATTCTAGTATTAATCTCATCTTAGTCATTTAAGATGGGACCTGGACCAAGCAGTGATTTGTGAGTTTCAAAATCAGATGGTTTAAAAAAGGGGGTGGGGGGAGTCTAACTGGGAAAAGAAACCATAAAATTTGGCAATAAGAAATTATTCCATGTTCAGAAAAGGGGAGAAGTGATTAGAAAATAGGGCAAGACATGATAAGACAATTTGGGCTCCCAAAAAAGAGACAATGAGGTATCAGGCCTGTGAACACATTAACCCAGGAGGCAGGACTCTCTGATCAAAGCCTAAGAAACCAGATATAACAGGGTCAGGAGGAAGAGGGGGAGAAACTGGCAGAGTGACAGTTAGGCTAACTTTTTGAGATATCTTCGAAATTAATATAAAGGTAAACTTTTCTACTCAAGTTCTTATGCAAAATAACTCAATGAATGAAAGTGATTCTGGGATTACCTATTTCTGTGCTGTCACCATGCCATGAAGAAACAAGCCAACCACAACCAAAGAAGAATATTCCACACAGCTGATGTTAAATAATATCAAATAGCTCAGTCCCTCATCCCTACTCTCTTGCTGTCTCTCCACCACTCTAGGTAAGCCACAAGGTATAGGGATAGAGAAGAAGAAGGGAAAAAAGATTTAGTGAAAGTTAATTTTTCCCAGAAAAATCAGAAATGATCAACAAGTTGATGATTGCTGCTACCCTCCTACCTCAAATGGACATGAAATGCCAGCTAATCTTCTCCTGCATTCTCTTTTCCAATGGAGCCCTCGATCTTCTGTTTGGTTTTTGTCTACAATTCATTTATTTAATTTTATATTCTTCAACTGACATGTTTCCTTAGCACAACTACATACAATTCCTACAAGTTTTCAGAAGACACCTCAAAAATTGAGACTAAGAGTTAGTGTCATTCTGCCAGTTTCTCCCTCTCTTCCTCCTGACCCTGTTATATCTGGTTCTTAGGTTTTGACCAGGGAGTCCTGTCTCCTGGGTTAATGTGTTCAAATCTCCTGTTATGAAGATTACTTTTTAAATATTTATTATTTAATTGTAGTTAGACACAATATCTTTATTTTGTTTATCTATTTTTATGTGGTGCTGAGGATTGAACCCAGGGCCTCGCAAGTGCTAGGCGAGCACTCTACTGCTAAGCCACAACCCCAGCCCTGAAGATTACTTTTAAAAAATAAAAAGCAGAACTCAAGGCCCAGTGTTATTTGTTTTCTCACCTTTATGGTCCTCTCATGGTTACCTATTGCCACTGCCTTCCCTATACCCCAGACCCAGAGACAGATGCAACCTGCCTGCTGACATTCTGAATCCAACATAGAGGGGACCTCCATTCCTCACTTCCCTCCTACACAACAAGAGAAATGAACACTTCCAAAAATGAATGTATCAAATGCTACACTTGAATGTATCAAATGCTACACTTGAACAATGAATGTATCAAATGCTACACTTAAATGATTTCTATTCCTACTTTTCTGGATTCCACTTTCAAAGTGACATTTGACTATGGGACAAGACACCTTCTCTGCTTCTCTTGGCTCCCAACAAAAAGCATGGCATACTGTCCACCACAGAGCCAGCAGCCTTATTTCTACCTCTACCACCAGATTTTCATTCATTAGCTCAAAATGTTTACTGAATACATATGATTTGCCAAACATGGGTCTGGTTCTGGGGAATAGGAGAATGAACAATTCAGAAAGATTCCTGATCTCACACAGCCTACTACCCCTAGAAAATGCCACATGAATATGCATACACCTCATACAAATAGGCATCCACCCAAATACACATTACCACGCTCATATATACTTCTACATATATGTATACTATACACATGTGCGCGCAAACACACACACACACACACAAATGTAAGAGTGGGTAAGAGCTACCATAGAAACAACACACAGAAATGTGATTAGGGTAACTTTTCCTTGAAAAGGGTTCTCTGAGGGAACATTTAGACTGAACCTGAATGATAAATAGAGGCTAGCCCTCACAAAAATCAACAAAGAAGGAATATTCCTGACAAAAGGGCAAGTTACAAAGTGTCAGACAGGATAGGGAAGTAACCTGATAGAGTATTTATGATCATTTTGGCTGCATGCAATGAATGAATTGTGGGACCTGGGAGACTGATTAGGAAGCTTTTGCAGTAAGCATTCCAGGTGACAGACAGCTGTGATTCAGATTTGGCTAATCCAAGAGAGAAAGACAAGACTTGAAGTTTGTTTTAGAATCTGAGTCAGTGATAGTTTGGACATGGAAGATAAGCAAATGAAGGCAGACTCCAGGGACTTAGGCGCTTTCCTGTGTAGCTATAGATTCCGACTCAAAAAGGAGAATCTTCTGTAGGACTGACAGTGTTTTGTTCACCTATGGAAGACACGATGATTTACTCTTCAAGCAAATGCCGCCTCACACACAGGGCATACCCTGGTAACTGGGAAGCTGATAAAACAACATCTTGAGGCCAGGCATGGTGGCACACACCTGAAATCCCAGTGGCTAGGGAGGTTGAGACAGGAGAATCATGAGTTCAAAGTCAGCCTCAGCAAAAAGCGAGGCGCTAAGCAACTCAGTGAGACCCTGTCTCTAAATGAAATACAAAATAGGGCTGGGGATGAGGCTCAGTGGTTAAGTGTCCCTGGGTTCAATCCCAAATACAAAAGAAAAAAGAAAAAGAAAAAAAAAAAAAAAAAACTTGATCCAATACTCATTACTCACAGAATAAAGAATTTTATTTCAACTTTTTACCTACAGTCTCTTGAACTAAAATTTCATAGGAAATAATAACTAATGGAAAAGAAAAGCAAAAAGGAAGAGGAAATGATATTTTGGGAGAAAGGCCCTATTCCAAATTTAGTGATGCCCATCAGAAATCTTTAGTGGATCAAAGGGAAGGTGTGACTCTTGGTGGTGGAGGGATGTCTTCTTTTGGAAACATTTGGGAAATCTAGAATTAATTGCAAGGCTTTTGTTTCCTAAAAGAAAGGTTCAAAGTAAAAAGAAAATAAAAGGTAGCCCGGGAGTAGGCGCTGTCCTCTCCATGGATAGGACAGGCCCCA